AGAGAAACTCTGTCTCCAAAAACAAACAAACAAACAAACAAACAAAACAAAAAACAAAAAAGAAACAAAAACAAGACAAAAAGCAGGACACTAAATCCCATTATATAGTTGATTGTGCTGATGAAGATGTGCTTTTGCAGCGGGGAGGGGAGTCCTACTATGTAAGCCCTGACTAACCTGGAACTTGACCAGGCTGCCCTTGAACTTGCAGAGATCTACCTGCCTCTGCTTCCCAAGTACTGGGATTAAAGGCAATGAGCCACCATACCCAGCTATATATTATTTTTGATAAAGAATATGCTTGTATAAAGAAATAGATAGGTCAAAAGGGGGAAAACATGCTAAAAAAATAAGGATAAACATTTTTTTTAAAGAAGAAATTCAATGTAACTATCGGCAAAACTGGACCCTTCTTTTATAAAACTCACAACAATGAATTTGAAGTTGGCTATGGTAGCAAATCCCTATAAGTCCAGAACTTGGGGAGCTGAAACAGAAGTGAGTTCAAAGCTAGCCTGAACAAGCACCAGACCAGCCAAGGCTACTTAGCAAGACCTTATCTCAGAAAATGTTTAAAAACATTAAAATCTGAAATGGAGTTAAAATTTAAATATAAAACCTACAACTACAGAATGTAAGAAAGCATAGAAGATGCTCCTTGATTCTGGCCTTGGTGATGATTTTTGCAGACAGGGCACCACTGCCACAGGTAAAAGGCAAAAAAAAAGAACAACTGGGCCACACCAGATTCTAAGCTTCTGCCTAGGAAAGGAAAAGTCACTTGCAAGCCATACACCTGACAAGGGTCAATACCTAATCCATAAAGTAACTCAAGAACTCAAGGGCCAAAAAGCAACTGATCCAATTAAAACTGAGGGAAGGACCTGAAGAGAAACCCTTTTTAAAAAAAAAAAAAAAAAACTAGTTTATTTAAATTTATTTTATGTGCATTGGTGTGAAGGTGTTAGATCTCATGGAACTGGAGTTACAGACAGTTGTGAGCTGCCATGTGGGTGCTAGGAATTGAACCCGGGTCCTCTGGAAGAGCAGTCAGTGCTCTTAACCGCTGAGCCATCTCTCCAGCCCGAGAAACCCTTTTCAAACATATATAAATTACCAATAGGTAATGAGAAAGGTCCTTGACACTACGAGTCATCAAAAGAACTGTAAGTCAAGACTCTCAGGGCCAGGCACAGTGACTCACACCTTCGTCCCCAGCACATGGGAAGCAGAGGCAGGAGGATCTGTCTACACAGCAAGCTCCAGGATAGACAGTACTACATTTTTTTAAATGATTTTTAAAATCTGTTTTGGAGAGTGAGCATGTTTCACTCACATAAGGAACAGTTACATCTTTTAGATGAAAACACAATTCTGCCACTGTCTCTATTTGCCGGTTAGGCAGAGTTTTAACAGGGGCATGTTGGCCCACGTCTGCTGGACATGGTGAGTAATGCTACACAATTGCAGTGTCGACTTCAGCAATTGGCTTCTCAGACTGCATAGAAAGCCTGTGACCCGCCAGCTTCCTCTAACCTAGATATCCCCACAACTGTTAAGACTGAATTTTATGTAAATCCTCTGACACTTATGAGTGACTCTGCTCCTTTCACTTTGGCAGCCCATAATGATTCCATCTTGTGCCTTGATTCCATCTTGACTTAAGGTTAGAGTTCAAGCTTGTTTTCACACTTTCAGGGTCAAACAACAGGATGTTTGACCTAAAGTGTAGTTGTTGTATATCTTCTTTAGATATCAGGATGTTTAGCTAAGGTATGACTGCTGGATGTTTTGCCTTTTAAGACCTAATAACAGGATGTTTGAGCTATTAGATGTTTTGAATATTAAGGAAATAATTGTTCTTTGTATCATGGAAAAGAAGTCTTTTGCCTTCCCCTTTGGCTTGAGGTATAAAAGGGCTTTAAAAATAAACTTGGGGCAGATTCAGTATTCACTGGAATGCCCTCCCGACTCTATCCTATGTCTCTTGTCTTTTCTTTAGTATCTTTAATTTTCTACCGGCCCGTTTCTCAATCCACACTCCTCCTTTCAAATAGGGAACAGACTAGTTGGGCAGGAACCAACATCTCACTGACACTTGAGGGTATAGGGAATGTTCTATGGTTCTTGCTTTCAACTATGGGAGAATGAAGGAAAGCAATCATCTCCCTCTGCACAACCTATGCTCTCTTCCCAAAGTCTCTGAATTAGTAGTCAGTAAGTGAATGTACAGCAATTGGCAGGGTGAGAAAGGAAGGGCTTGTGGGTAGTGGTAGAGAGATGGCTCAGTGGTTAAGAGAACTGGCTGCTCTTGCAGAAGACTTAGGTTCAGTTCCCAGCACCCACATGGTGACTCACAATTTTCTGTAACTCCAGTTCCAGGGATCCAATGCCCTTTTATATAGTCTCAGAGGGCACCAGGAACACACACACACACACAGTGCACAGAGACACATGCAGGCAAAACACTCAAACACATACAATAAAATATTTTTTAATTCCCAAAGACATGAAAGAAGGGAAAATAACTGCAAAGAGAAAGCTTAATAACAGAGCAGGGAATATGATCAAAATATTTCACTTATGTGCATAAAAACATAATAATGAACCCTGTTATTATGTGTAATTATTATATATGCTAATAAAAACATTTAAAAAGTCCATATGGTGGCTGGTTCCCAAAGAACCACAATTGAGGTTGTGCTCTAACTCTCACATGTATATACACACATGCATATGCACACACATGTATCTGTACACACCTGAACATGTACATGCGCATAAACAGACATACACAAAAACATTGCAATCATTCAGTACAATTTTACTAGCAAATGAAAGTGAAAAACAGCTCAAGAATCTTTACCTTAGAATTCTTGACAGCAATTGGATATTTCATCTCTGGCAGGGATAAAAAGAATTAGTGAATCTTGGTTTGAGCAAAAGAAAGCTGTCATTATTTGAAATATTATACCAGTAATACATTTAAATGATTGTCTTAATTGTACTTTAATTTTCATTCTGAACCTTTATCAAGTAGGAAAGCTAAAATAATTCATTTGCAAAACATAAACTCTGGCATGTTTTAGGATGGTTTCTTTTAACTCATTTAACTAACACACATTTCTCTAGTTTAGCCTAGCACAGACCCCCACTTTTCACTGAACAACAATCCCATGCTCTGCATAGACAACAGTACCATCATAAATGAAGTTATTTTGACCCACAGAATTAAACACAAGACAACCTGTGTCCAAGTGTTGACAACCTGATTCTTTGCACTGGTTGTTCAGAAAAGCAAGAGTTTTCACAACACAAAAAATTCCAATAATGAACTGACCATTTATCAAGTTTGTTCCCACTTATTGATGAAATATTAACCTATAAAGCATATGTACAGAAAAAGACTACAATCTACCTATAATGTGAATTTGACTTACTCTGCTACCCACTTAGAACAATTTTATTTAATAAATTTGTTCATCATCTTAGAGTGTAGAAGGACACTGGGCAAGTGATTCATACAATCCAGATCTCCTTTAAACCAATTTCCTTGCAGCAAACAGAATGCTTGCAAGCCTCTTGTTTAGCTAAAAAAGAAAACTACTCATCTCAAAGCAAAATAAAACAGGCTGTAACTGCATCTAAGAGGGGACAGGAGGTGAGACTTGGAAAAAAGGCTGTAACTTCAGTCTAAAGGGAACAGGAGGTGAGATTCAGAATGGCTGAGTCTTTTGATGAAATAAATTGGTCTGCTGTGGGAAATCTGGGTGTGTCCAAAGTTGGCCAACCATTTACTATTGTGAAGCCATATCCCTGACAGTCTGATTCAAGAAGCCTAAATGGCACTAAATCTGTATTTACAGTAGCACTGATGAGAGGTGCTGACTCTAACCTTCAGGGAACCATCTGGAGGCCAACTGTACATAACAGCCTTGGTTGTCAGACTTTGGTGCCAGTCAGTGTCTACTCAGTGCCCAGTTCTATGAGCACACAAACGTCTAGGAACTGTGGGTCTGCTCTGTCCACTCCCACCCACGTTCCTTCTGCACTCCCCTCTGACTCTGTGCCCTACTGTAGCCTGGCTCCTGGGAGTCTCCTACAAGCACCACCCAGACAAAAAACAATCCTTTTTCCTTTTTAATCAATAAAAATATTTTATAGAGAAGACGGGATAGCTTACCATCCTTACTTCTGGAAGGGCTTTCTTTAGCTATTTCAATTTCTTTTACCTCAAAATCTTTCAAGATAGAACCACCTGCATCTTGGAAATCCTGGGCAAATGACAAAGCTACCTGTTGGTAGTCCACAATCCCAGTATACGGACAATCAATAGCCATTAGACCCTAGGACAAAAGTAGAAAAATGTCAAATAATACACTCAATAATTGTAGAGAGCTGCGTGGAGCCACACCTTAAAGATGGCGCTGGCTTCCGCCCTCCGAGATCCCGAAAGCAAGCGCTCTCTGAGAAAAACGACTCCATATATGGCTAAGGCCAGACTCATGCGATGATCGTAAGCTGCTTGCGTATTCGTGGACCTATGGACGGTGCCCACATGGCAATCCAGGGTTGGTGGTCCATGCCTACTTAAGGGCTGGGAGAGGCTTGTCGGGAGAGAGAGATCGCTGTTAACAAGGTCCTGAATAAACTGCTTGCAAGAAGAGCTCCGGTGTTGCGTCATCCTTGCTGGTCGAGGCGGTCGGGACAAAGAATCAGTAGTTTTTTGGTTTGGTTTGTTTTTTTGTTGTTTTGTTTTTTGTTTTTGTTTTTGTTTTTTGAGACAGGGTTTCTCTGTGTAGCTATGGAGCCCATCCTGGCAGTTGCTCTGCAGACCAGGCTGGCCTCAAACTCACAGAGATCCCAGAGATCCTCCTGCCTCTGCCACCCGGAGTGCTGGGATTAAAGGGGTGGGCCACCAAAGCCCCGGCTAAGAATCAGTAGTTTGTTCAAAGCTTTTGTTGTTGTTTTTGTTTTTTTTCCAGACAGGGTTTCTTTGTGTAACAGCCTTGCCTGTACTGGAACTCACTTTGAAGACCAGGTTGGTCTTGAACTCACTGAGATCCACCTGCCTCTGCCTCCTTAGTGCTGGGATTAAAGGTGTGTGCCACCACTACCCAGCTGCAAAGTTTTATTTTTGTTTGGAATTTTATACTTGTTTATTTTGATAAACACATTATCCTTGCTTAACAAAAACCTTGTTGTGGAAAATTCCTCTACATTATGTGAAGATATTTCAATGTTATTGGTTTATAAAAAGCTAAACGGCTCATAGCTAGGCAGTATTTCTGGTGCAGAGAGAACGATGGGAAGAAGGATCCAGTTTCCAGGAGTTGACAGTCAGATGCAGCATGGGAATTGCAAAGTAAAGGCAACTGAGCCACGTAAAAGAAGATAGATTAAAAGAAATGGGTTAATTTAAGTTAAAAGAGCTAGTTAGAAACAAGCCTGAGCTATTGGCTGAGCTTTCATAGTAAATAAGAAGTTTCCATGTGGTTATTAGAGAGCTGGCAGATAGGATACAAAAATCTGCCTATAAAATCTGACAGTATTTAAAACAGTAACAGAAAGGTCTGCTCTTGTTAAATGCCTAAATTTGGTCATGAATATATATGTAGTATTACATATATATTAAACACACACACACACACACACACACACACACACACAGTCTACTAGAGGGGAGAAATAATACTAGCTAAATAAAGCCGAGGGTTTATTTAGCTGTTCTCAAGCTCTAAAATGGAATTATTTCTACACCATGCCCAAACCTGTAGAGATCAAAAGGTCTTTTTTTTTGTCTTTTCAAATAAATTGTTAAATTTTAAAGTTTTTTTTTATTAGCAGATAAAATCATTATGTTAAACTAGTATGCCTTTTTGAAGTTTACAAATTATTTTATTCTCAAAGGCAATCCGTGCCAGTGAAATTCTAATATATTAAACATATTAAACCCACATAAAGCTATGAAATATTTGAATTGGGGAACATTTTGATTTTTCTGAAGTTTTGGATTAGGCATGTCCAACTGGTAAAGCCTGTGAAAACATCCCCAACCCCTAGCCTACTGAATTTTCAGTAAGCTATATTCAGTTTGTACAACATACCCACAGAAGTGACTTTAGTGAGAACAAAGACCACATATCTGAGGACACAGAGCAACTGGAACTCTACATGACTGAGAGAATAAACCAAGGTACTTTGGAAAACTTTTTGGCAGTATCTGCCAAAGCTGAACAGAAACACATAAACTGCAACCTAACAATATCTCTTTGACTGTATACCCATTAGCAATATTAACTTTTTTACTAAAACATGTATTCTAGAATGTTCATTCATAGCATCATGATTTGGAATAGCTCGTGGAAACTACCACGTGCACCAGACTGGTCAATCACTCACCCTGCAATATGGTTCCTTCTTTTTTATCTCCTCCTGCTGGATCAGTCTCAAGCCTTGGACTCCATTCTGTAGACCTCTCTCATACAAGGCCTGAAGTCTGGGAATTTCTTCTTGTTCAACAGCTACTATTAGCTTCAGAAAAATGACAAAATGCATGCATAGAGTTAAACTATTACCAGCTGTAAAATACATAAAGTCAATGAAAGAATTACAAATTATTGCGTCTCAAACAAGGTTAGCATAAAGCATTTTTCTGCCGTAAATCTACTACTCCCTTTGTTCATTATTTTATTTCTTTCCTTCACCAAGAAGAAAAGGTCTTGAGAAAATAGCATTAAAACTAATCTCCCTAAATGTGAAAAGCAGCCTCAGTTTTCATTTCTTGTTGACAGTTGCAATATACAACTCTTATCATTGTCACTCCCTCTATCCCAGCAACAAGAGAAGTACATGTTTACAGCTTGCTTTTGTTGCTTTTAAGATGTATTTTATGGGCATGGGTGTTTTGCCTGCATGTATGCACTGCACCATTTTGTGTGCCATGTCCATGGAGGGCAGCGAGGGTCATGGATCCCCTGGAACTGGAGTGACAGGTGCTTCTGAGCTGCCATGTGGGCACTGGGAATTGAACCTGAATCCTCTGCAAGAGTGTCAGTGCTCTTAACTGCTGATTCATGTCTTTAATCCCCTTGACATCTTTCAAAGCAAGTACCCTTCTTATTTCTACAAAGAAATGTAAAATGCTAGTTCATAAAAAAAGACAGTCAGAAATCAGTATAAGGGGAGCACCATGCTCAACAAACTATTCTTTTGATGTCTTGACAGAAATTACACAGTCTTTACTAATGCAGAGGGAAGAATTACATTTAATCAACTTTCTTTAGAACTCTTTTCTTATATGTTTCTGAGACAGGTATCTGAAACTGAGTTTCTTCTCATTTCACAGCAAGGCAAAACACAGATACACATTCACAGGTATATTAGCATGCACAAGTCACTACCTCATACCAGAGAATCAATAGAGTTCCCTGAGGTAAAACTTTTGGTCAAGGTACAAAGGCTACTTAAGTCAATGAATGATTAATGTTTTAAACAAAAATGAGTCAAAGGACTCCATCAAGAAAGTAAGAGGACAAATCACAGCCCGGGAGTATTTGTAAATCATAAAGCAGATAAAGACTTGCCACCTCGACCCGACCTCTTTCAACCCAATGCAGACTGTGACTTTCTACCCGGGAGTATTTGTAAATCATAAAGCAGATAAAGACTTGCCACCTCGACCTCTTTCAACCCAATGCAGACTGTGACTTTCTACTTTTTTTTTTCACTTAACATTCTCTCAAGGCATTTTCTCATATTACTAGAAAAAACTATAATTCATCTTTAACGACAATAATGAGGTTTCAGACTTAAAATGTGGAGAGAGGGTATCACGGCCAACTTTAAAGAAATAAGACTCATAAAGGGTAGTATGAACAACTAACTATGCCAAAAAAAAGTAGACCATCTAGATGCTCAAATTGTTAGGAAGATACTTCTGAAAAATGACTCACAAAAAACAAAAAAAACCAAAAAAACAAAACTAGATTGAACCATGACAAGTAAACAAATAAAAACTTCCAACAAAGGTCAGGTGTGGTGGGGCACACCTTTGATCCCAGCACTTGGGAGTAGAGGCAGGAGGATCTCTGTAAGTTCAAGGCCAACCTGGTTTACATAGCAAGCTCCAGGACAGCCAAGGCTACATACCTGCCTGGAAAAATCAAAACAAATAAAACTAAGATAATTGAAACAACTTCCCACAAAGAAAAGGCCAGACAAAACAGCCTTTACTCATGAAGGTTGCCACATATTTAAGAAAGAATCAGCCGGGCGTTGGTGGCGCATGCCTTTAATCCCAGCACTCAGGAGGCAGAGGCAGGCGGTCCTTGTGAGTTCGAGTCCAGCCTGGTCTACAAGAGCTAGTTCAAGGACAGCCTCCAAAGCCACAGAGAAACCCTGTCTTGAAAAACCAAAAAAGAAAAAGAAAAAAAAAAAAAGAAAGAAAAAAAAAAAAAGAAAGAAAGAATCAAATCTGCTTTCAAGAGAGAGAGAGAGTGAGAGGATGAAACAATTCTAAACTATTATTATGAGGTCAGTGAACTCCCATACACCACTGAGCTACGTCCTCAGCTCTCGTTTGTAAAACATCTTAGGCAAAACAATAAAACTAAATACAGCAACATGTAAAGGGGTTATATGCCATAACCAAGTGCTATGCATCACAGGAAGACAAGATCAACTTAATATCCAAAGGCTAGTTACTATATGATTCACTATAGTAGTAGTGAAGAGGAAATAAGAATATCTCAACAGAAGCAGAAAAGACATTTGAGAAAAATATAACACTCTCTGATGCTTAAAAAAACAAAACAAGCCGGGCATTGGTGGCATACACCTTTATTCCCAGCACTCGGGAGCCAGAGGCAGGCGGATATCTGTGTGTTCGAGGCCAGCCTGGTCTCTAGAGTGAGTGCCAGGATAGGCTCCAAAGCTACACAGAGAAACCCTGTCTCGAAAAACCAAAAACAAACAAACAAACAAACAAAAACAAAACAAACCCAGGGGCTGGTGAGATATCTCAGTTGGAAAAGGCACTGGCCACCAAGTCCAACCTTCTCGGTTTGGTTCCTGGGACCTATATGGTGGAATGAAAGAATGCTTCCCACAGGTTATCCTCTAATTTTTATATGCATATCACAGTATATAAGCAGAAGTATATGGTGCACACACACAACACACACTAAATAAATGTAAAAATCAAATAAAAGACATCCAAACTAAAAAAAAACAAACAAACAAAAAAAAAAACTAATCTACTTGTAGATAACAAGATCCTGCAGTCTAAGAAACATGCACACACAAAAACCTGGAACAAATGACATTAAAAATAATTCATAAAAGCATCAATAAAAATAAAATAATGAGGAAAAATTTAACAAGAGGTAGCAAGACTTTGGTGGTGGTGGCGGAGCACGCCTTTAATCCCAGCAATCAGGAGGCAGAGGCAGGCGGATCTCTGAGTTCAAGGCCAGCCTGGTTTACAGAGTGAGTTCCAGGATAGCCAGGGACACACAGAGAAATCCTGATTCAGAAAAAACAAACAAACAAAAAACCTCTGAAATCTATAAAACAGCTAAAAGAAGTTAAATAAGCAAATAAAAGAAGATATAGTCACAGATTGAAAGAGTTAATATTGTCAAGCCGGAAATATCTGGGGCTGGGAAGATAGCCCAGCATTTCAAAGCACTTGCTGCACTTGCAGAGGACCAGAGGGTTCCCAGCATCCACATAAGGCAGCTCACCTCTGCTCTAACTCCAGCTCCAGGGATTCAATGCCCTTGTCTTGCTTCCATGGGCACACGCACGCACGCACGCACGCACGCACGCAAATAATACAAATTTTAAAAAATTTTAAAGATGGTATTGTTCTCAAAATTGTTCTATATATTGACACAATCTCTAGCATAATCCCAGCTGCTCTTTAGGAGAGATTAACAAACTGTCCTAAAAATTCATTTGGAAATTCAAGGATCCCCAAATGGCCAAAGCAATCTTGAAAAAATACACATTAAAGTTAGGGGGCTTACATCCTGTATGTAGGGATAGACATACACACTAGTGGGTGATACGAGAATCTGTATTTATGTCCAAATGATTTTATAGACGGGTGTCAAAACAATTCCTATAGAAGGAAGATACTCTCCAACACTCTCCAACAAATGATGGTGAGACGCACAGAAATCTACATACAAAGAAACAAAGTTGAATCCTAACACACACCAGATACTTATTAAATTCCAAAGTGCTCACAGATTTAAATATAAACAATGAAAAATACAGACACTCTTAGAAAAATGAAGAAGCCAATCTTTATGAACTGGTACCAGCTGGTCATTTCTTAGATATGATCCTGAAAGTGTAAGTTGTTGGAACCTTGCCATTATGCTGACAAGGATGGACACGCATATCGGCATTCAGGCAGATACTTAGGCAGCTCAAAGGGCCCTGTGTTGCCTGGCCACGTAATGGCTGCGTAAGGACTCAGCACACATGTGCAAGTTTCCACTTTTAAGCGAGCACCTCCACATGCTCTCTCTCTCTATTTGCCCCCCCATCTCTCTCCCTTCTCTGCTTCTACCCCCCTTTTCTCCCTTCATCCCTTCCTCCAATAACTCCACATGTGAGTCTCATGGTTTGTTTTCATCTACTCGTGACTGAAGCATGGTTTCCTGTTCCATCTACTCTACTCTTAACTTAAGCAAAAGAACGACACAAGTAACAAAAGAAAACCCTAGATCTTGTCAAAATCCAAACCCTTGGAACTTCAAAGGATATCATCAAGAAGGCAATGGGGAAGCCTACAAAATAGGACAAAACACTCGGAATCACATAGGTAAATAACACTCCTCCCCTTCCTGATTTGTCTTCTGAGATTTCAGTTACTCACAGCCAAACACGGTACAAAAATATTAGATGAAAAAAAAGTTCCTGGGATGTGCATTAACACTTTACTTTGTTTCCCATATCCATGTTGCATACGCCACACACTCATTAGTCATTCTGTAGTCACCTACGATACCAGATTGACTGACATGGTATCATCATGCCTGTGTTCAAGCAACCCTTATTTCATTTAACAGTGGCCCCAAAATACAAGAGTCACGATGCTGGCAAGTGCTTCATGACATCACAAGGAGGATAAGTACAGCACAATAAGGTATTCTGAGAAAGACAAACTGATCAAATTAACATAACTCTTAGTAGATCATTCTGCTAAAGTTTTTCATTTAATAAAGTCGTTGTTGCTAGCTTCTTATATGCCTAATTTTATGTTAAACTGTACTGTCGGTATGCATGGACAAGAAATACAAAAGTACAGAAAGGGATAGAATAAAAGGAAAGACCAAAAGTAATGTTATCTAAGGCTTCAGACATTCATGGGAAGTCTTTGAACACATTAGAGAGGATTAATATATATTGAAATCATGAATTATACAAAACACTATCATTCAACAGTAAAACAACAATCACACAATTTTAAAATGAGTAAAAGACTGAATATACATCTCTCTAAAGAAACTATTTAAATGACCAATAAGCCCTTTAAAAGATGTTCAAACAGGTACAGCAATTCCCCTTCTGGGTGCATGTCCAAAAGAAGGAAAATCAAGATACCTAAAGAGATTAATGGCATCTTATGTTCTTTGCAACATCATTCACAAGTAGCAAAGATAGAAAAGCAACTTAAGTGTCCAGCAACAGATGAATAAAGAAAATGTGGTATGTAGGCTGTGCATGTACAAAGTGAAAGAACTAAATTCATTAAAGGGGTCACTTAAATGGTGGTTACCAGTGGCTGGAAGTAAGTGAGGGCTGGACAGATGTCAGTCAGAGGCTATCAAGTTTCAATAAATAAAATCGGAAGAATATGTTCAGAAGATCCATTGTAAACATGTGACTATAGGAATTATAATGTGTTGTGTTCTTGGAGACTATTAAGAGAACAGATTTTAAAAAAAGAAAGAACAGATTTTATTTATTTATTTATTTATTTATTTATTTTTGGTTTTTCGAGACAGGGTTTCTCTGTGGCTTTGGAGGCCGTTCTGCAACTAGCTCTTGAAGACCAGGCTGGTCTCAATATCACATAGATCCACCTGCCTCTGCCTCCCGAGTGCTGGGATTAAAGGTGTGCGCCACCATGGCCCAGCTTCTTTTCTTTTCTTTTCTTTTCTTTCTTTTTTCTTTTTCTTTTGAGAACAGATTTTAAAATAGCAAGTGTGTGAGGTAATGCATATGGCAGTCAGTTAAGTATTGTCATTGCAAAATGGCTGTCCTGTGTATTCATGCTGTCACATACATATTCACATGTATATGTTGGACATAATATGTACAATTTTTGCCAATTAAAAATAAACTTAAAGCCGGTGGTGGTGTTGGTGCACGCCTTTAATCCCAGCACTCAGGAGGCAGAGGCAGGCGGATCTCTGTGAGTTTGAGACCAGCCTGGTCTACAAGAGCTAGTTCCAGGACAGCTTCCAAAGCCGCAGAGAAACCCTGTCTTGAAAAACAAAAAACAAAAAAATTAAATAAATAAACTTAAGTGAGTTGGGGAGATGGCTTCATGGGTAATGTACTTGCTGGGCAAGTATAAGGATTTACATCTGTCTCTCTAGCACCCATGTAAAAACTGGTTTGGTGGTGTAAGCCTATAATGTCAGCACTAGGGAGGAACAAACAGGAAAATGAGATATCCCTGGCTCTCACTGGCCACACACACTAACCAATCAGTGAGTTCCAGGTTCAATAACAGACCCTGTCTCAAAGGATAGGGTGAAGTATGATTAAAAAAAAAATAACTCATGTTGACCTCTGGCCTCCATATGTACACAGTGCACACACACACACACACACACACACACACAAAGAAAAGGTTCTCTGTCTGATTAGTCATCGTAATGAAGTAAGCCAGCTATACTGTTACAAAGCTATAGTTCCACTTGGGAGGCTGAGGCAAGAGACTTAAAAGTTCAAGGCTGGCCTAAACTACATTATGAGACACTGTCTCGATACAAAACTAAACCAAAAAAAAATTTCAATAAGGTAGTACTTCATATCTATCAGAATGGCTAAAATAAAAACAGAAAATAACAAGTGTTGATAGCAATATAAGAAACATATAAGGATATGGGAGCCTCATTAATTACCAGTGAAAATGCAACGATAACATCTGGAAAAGAGTTTGACAGTCCCTTCAAATACTAAAGATGGAGTTCCCACAGGACCCAGAAAATTCTACTTCTCGGAATATTCCACTGAGATATGAGAATGGGCTTCCATAGAAGTTATACATAAATATCTACAACAACAAAAAAGCAGAAACAACTCAAATGCATATCAACTGATAAGCACCTAAACGAAATGAGGCATACCTACATAATGGAGTCAGTCATAAAAAGGAGTAAAGTACTAATTAATGCTACAACATGAATAACCTCTGAAAACATTATGGTGTGTATTTTTTTTAAATGGCATAGAACACAAAAGTTCTGACCTAATTCTATTTATATGTGTCAGTGAGGAGGCCTCAGAAATCTATGGGGCCTCCTGTAGTAGATCAGCACTTATCCCTAGCATAGGAATGGACTTTGGGAGCCCATTCCCCATAGAAGGATACTAGACACATGGGGGAGGGCCTAGGCCCTATCCCAAAGGATATTACAGACTCTGAAGATCCCCCATGGAAGGCCTCGCCCTCCCTGGGGAATAGAAAGGGTAAGAGATAGGTAGGGAGTTAGTGGGGGGGGGGGCAAGGGGGGGGGGGGGAGGGAGAGGGAACTGGGATTGACATGTAAAACAATCTTGTTTCCAATTTAAATAAAAAAAATGGAGAGAAAAAAAGATCTGTATAAACTGGGAGGTGGTGGCTCATGCCTTTAATCCCAGAACTTGGGAGGCAGAGGCAAGTGGAGCTCTGTGAGTTTGAAGCTAGCCTGGTCTACAGAGCAAGTTCCAGGACAGACTCCAAAGCTACAGAGAAACCCTGTCTCAAAATAAATAAATAAACAAATAAATAAAAACAAAAACAACTTATGTTTTAATTACATAGAGTCAGTTGTCACATCACTTTTGTTATTCCTTAGACTATATTAAATTACATAGATACAAGAGCAGGAAAAAAATCACATCCCTTTAAAATTTTCAACATTAAACCTAAGAAAACACTAGTTATAAACAAGCCAAGGCCCTAGTAAAATGCTGTACCTTGCCACATTGCCTGTAGGGAATTCTCTTGAGGTTACAGTATTCATAGATGAGGGCTGCGCCTTCTATACACAATTTAGCTTTCAGAGATTCAGGTTTATAGTAAATTCCACTATGTATGACACCACTGTTCCGTCCAGTCTGGTGAAGAGCTATAAAACAAGAGAGACGAGTAAGAAAAGTAAATGATTCACACAAAACCTAAGAGGTGAAGAACAATTAATTATAAGGGTAGCTATCAGAGGCCAGATCATTCAAAAATTCTGCCTAGATTCATTCCTTTATTGGCAACTTCCTATAGCAGCTATCCCTGGCGTCAATACCAAGTCATTCCTGCCCATCTCTGATTTCAACTTAAGCTTTGTTTAAACACCAAGATTCTGCACATGCTCCAAGGCCTTTCTGTCTTTTTGGAGGAAAGTGGGGTTGTTTGTATCGATAGGGACAATCCTAGAAGCTGATGGAGAATAAGCACAAACCTGGGGAGAACTATGTTGTTCCCTGGGATACCCGTGTACTCAAGCTCCAGCAGCACATTTAGAGTGTGCCCTTGTGTGGTCTTTAGTCTCCCCACACCCTATCTTCTTCCTGCCATCTAATAACCCCTCAAATCAGCCACCTCCATGCAAGCCCTTGTCCCAGACTTTCCTTTCACAATAACCCAAAACGAGACACTAACATCAACATTTTTCATGACTAATTCAGCCTGACAAAATAAGCAGGTTCCCAGCAAGCTGATAGTATGCATACCTAAATCTTTCTCCTTTTCCACAACACCAATCGAAAGTCCGGGGTATTTCAGGATGAGTGTTCTGGCAGATGCAAGCCCCACGATTCCGCCACCGATGATGACTATATCAAATGAGCTTTAAGAAAAATCAAGCTTTAAGAATTTATGTTTACAGACCTCACCAAACTTCACTTCATAATTTTTATTAATGAGAAATTAAAGTACAAATTTGTAATAACATGTTATTTATATACCATATGTAACAAATATCATATTACATGTCATATATATTGTTTATATTATATATAATATGCCATATATGTGATATGTGATAAGATTATTTATATATATATATATAAATATCACATTTCATGATAAAATCAGTGGTAAGGGTTCTGTACTACACTTATATAAGATTCTCAAAATGACAAAATTTTCTGATGAAGAATAGAGTAATTGCCAAGAGTTAGGAAGAATGGAGAGGCAGGGTGTAACTAGAGCGAGAGATGTAACAAATCTTGTGATAGGACATCTTAATTACTTATTTATTGACAATGAACAGTTGATTGTGCATACAGAACATACATGTACAGACTGTTAACACCACAGCTGCCATATGGTGCCAAAGCACGGCAAGGCTACAGCAGGCCCAGTTGCTCATTGCCATATAGGGCAGCAATACCAACACCTAAGAGAAAACTTGGAAGTCATCTAACAAAGCAGAAAATTTGGGAGTGTTCTCTATACACCAAAGAAATGTTCACTTAAGCAAATATAAAACACACACACACACACACACACAAGAATAGTCCTGATATTCTGTATCAGACAGAATCTAAGAAAGAAGGAATCCAGGAGTTGAACTTGATTTCTATTTTAATGTTGTATCACAGGTTGAGACAAGTACATCCAGACTTCACAGGATGGACCCTCTATTCCCTCCTGTTCTCTAAAGGCCACTTTAGGTGATGCTGATCCTACTCAGTGCCCACCTGATGGAGTCAATGTTCTCACCTCTCTCAAGACAACCTCTGCTAGGGGCTCCTGTTTCATTGGAGCCCACATGCATGCCATTCAACTCCTAACAGAGCTCACCCTACATTGAAGTGCATCTCAAAGGGGGGTCTTAATTTGGGGCTCTTCACCACAGACAAGCTTTTCATCAGCATCTAAGGAGCTTGGTGGCCTGTTGGGGGCTCAGGGCCTTATCCAGGGGCCTCAGGATGCTGGAGATGCTAGGATCTTCCCTTGGGCTTGTCTTTTCTGTCAGTGGGCTCATCTGTCTGGGAAGCTGCAACTGCGTTTTCCTTTTGGCCTGAAGTTAGTTCATCTCCTCATTGGGGCTTCCTTTACCTTACAGGCTCTTTGCCCTCCCAGACAGAATCAGATGTTGACACTCTGCTGGGACTAGAGTCTCTGAATGACTCTTCTGGCCATTACACCTTCCTCAGCTTAGCCTCAACCATGATGGGGCATTTATCATTTATCATGGGCTTCTGCAGGGCAAGGAGGGGGATCAGAGGAACTGTGGGTAGAAATGAAGAGGGAGTGATGAGGGTGGGAGCCCACTACATGAGACAAATGCTGGGTGCCCTGTGAGAGGATAGGTTGTAGCCACGGTTCCTCTCTCCAGAGATGGTGTAACAGGCCCTCAAACCTTAGCACACTGACACCATTTGGAAGCACCATTCTGACCTGAGAACCCAGCATTCAGGCCCCCAAACCTGCCAATATGGGAATGAAGACCTAATCCATCCAAGACCTAGTCCACAGTTCCAGGATTCGGGAAAGTTCCTAAATACACCAACCTTGCCTTTTTGGCTTCTGTAGTTTCACTTGTCACTGACGGTTCCTGTTAACCAAAGTGTGGTTTTTGTGCACAAAAGACAAAGAACAGTGAGGCTCAGGGCTGCAAGATTTGGGCAAGTTCCCCATGAAGTTGGTGCTGGGGCAATACAGACTTTCTATTCAGTTTTAAGAGTACCCATGTGGTTCTCTGGTGGAATGACTTCACAACAATAGCACTGCTAGTGTTTCATCACTTGTCTTCAAAGGGACACCTTGGGAATTCATGATGTTCAGGGCAAACAGCCCTGCAATGGAAAATGTCGTTATCTTTTCCTTATTTGCAGTTTAAGCCATATCCCTCCATAAGGTGAAGCACAGACATCTGGCCACTAACAGAAGATTAATTCAGCCTTTTAAGATTGAATGATCACAACTAGCTGAACTTGTTGTTAATTGACCTCTAACTCTATAGAGATATTGTTGGGAACTTGCTGCTTGACCCCAAATCTAGAAGCATTGTTGGCATTCTTATAATAGATGTTGATCTGGCTGATTCCTGCTGTCCAGACCAATTGGCACTCATTTCTTATAGGTGTCACTGTTGACCATTACAGAGGCCAGCACTTGGCAAAGACTGTTCATTCATTTTGTTTCCAGTGCAGAAATTGTAGCTCAATGGCTGGCTGAGCTGTGGAGAGCCATCAGGGTTCATCTTTTTTGGTGGTCCTTAGGAGGAGATGACTGACAGCTGGGTCCTGTCATCTTGGTGGGCACCTGTGCCCAGGTCCACAATGGAACATTTCTATGCCGAAATTAAGAGGATTACACAAAATCTGATTAAATTGTAGTGAGCTACACACAGAACACACAAAGTACATATAAAATTGATGAACAACATATATGCACTGTATCAATATTAATTTTCTGGCTTTGCTGTTGTACTATCCTAACTCTGAGAAGAACGGTGGGGAAGGGGGAAGCCAACATAAAACCATTTTGTAATTTTTGCAACTTTATATGGATCTACAATTCTTCCAAAAGTATAAGAATTCTCAGGGCTAGGAAAAATGGTTAATTGGTAAAATGCTTGCTGTGCACACATAAGGATCCGAGTTTGTATCCCAAGCACCTTTATGTAAAAGCATGGTTTCCACACGTCTGTAACCTTGGGGTGGGATAGGGAGACAGGCAGATCCCTGAGCTTGCCGGCCAGCCAATCTCAGAAGATGGAGCAATTGGGGTGGCACCCACCTTTAATTCCAGCACTTGGAAGGCAGGGGCAGGCTGATCTCTGAGAGTTAGAGGCCAGCCTGATCTACATGGGGAATTACATGACAGCCAGGGCTACATAGGAAACCTTGTTTCAACACCATTTAACAGCTTAGTCCTTAGATTAAAATTTAATTTGGGGCTTAAAAATACTGTTGTGGCATTGTCCCTCTCCAGTAGTGTTTGCAAGGAACTGACCTACTGAAGCCCAGTTCTGGATCTTCCATGCAGCACAGGGAATACTACCTAAGAATCGGCATATTTATTTACAGTGTGCTAGGTCCCCTAATCCTCACAATGACCACCTAGGGGCCAGACTAGGATCCTATTCACCCTTCTGCCTTTAAAGTGTTAAGAAATGGAGAGGAGGGGTGTGTTTCAGAGCCAGATTCGCCACTGACCTCCACACAACACTGCCTTTCCTCCTGCCCACAAAGGCTGCGGATGAACCCTGCAGGTCAGCAGCAGCTCCTGGAGTCCGAGACTAGACCACAGAATCAGGACTTCATCGCCAGGGACAGAGACGTCGAGTCGGGGCACAGGTCCAGTTGGAGACACCTCAGAGAGAGCAGCCAGCGCAGGCCACCGCCACTCACTCACCTGGTGCTGGAGCTGCGGCCACCCCCGCACAGCAGCCCTGGTCCCGCGGACGCCCGCTCTCTCGCCCGGAGGAAGCCCCTAGCAAAGTGGCATCGGGCCCGACCGCAGGCACCACCCATGTAACGCAGGGTGGGCCACATGGCCTGCGCAGCCTCCCCTTCCTCAACCCCTGCAGCAGCAGCAGCCCGAAGGACTCTACGGGTGAAGCTCGCCGCTCTCCAGCCCCGCCCCCAAACGACGGCCAATGAAATGCTCGCCTTTGCCTTCCGTGGGCGTGGCTCCCGTTGGCCAATGGGCGAACGCGACGGAGGGACGAGCCAGAGGGCGAAGGGTCGGCCAGACGCAGGGACGCCGCGCGTCGTGAGTAGGGAAGCGAGGGCGCAGACGGGCACCGGATGGTGGTTCCGCTCTCCCGGGCCACGGCGGGCGCTGGCTCGACTGGACGCCTGCGCTAGGCCGCCAGAGAAGGCTGTGCGTGGCGGGGTGACCTCTGACTGCCGCGGCCTCTCCTTCGGCCATGTCCCCTGGTCGGTTGGCGACGCCCTCGTCCGGCAGCTAGGGACTAGCAGCTGAGCCTCCTCCTGCCGCTCTCTGTCTCCACCGCGCCAGGGGCTTCTAGGCCCTTCGTGGGGCTCCTGATGGTGTAGTTCATTCGAGTACTGACTCGGCTTGTAAATATCAGGCGCTGAGCGAGGCGCTAGTGAAAGCAGACAGCTCCGTCCCTTTCATGATTCAGTGCTTTTTTTTTTTTAATGACTCATTTGTGAGTGTGTGTGTGTCTGCATGAGTTGATGTGCAACACGTTGCTCGGGAACCCGCAGAGACCAGAAAAGGGATTAAAGATCCTCTGGAATTGGAAGTTTTGGATGATTGTGAGCCGCCAAGTGGGCGCTGGAAACCAAACCCAAGTCCTGGGGCAAGGCCAGTTAGCAGTCTTAACCACGGAGCCTTCTCTCCAGCCCCAACCCTGTCTTAGTCACTGGACCAAGACACGGTTTTAAATATCCACGTCTTAGAACAGCCCTCATGGAGCAGGTCACTTTATTCGTGTTTCCTCTACTGTAAAAATGAGAGCTATGTAATCACCTAAGGACCTTATGACTCGGTAAAAATGTGTGGTTCTTTGTCACCATGCCAGTGTAATTCCCATTCTCTGCTTGGTGGTAGTTCTTTTAGGGTTAGAACAGCTTAACAGGACCAAAACAGAATGATGGAACTATTGCTGGAAGGACTTGGTTTGAATATTGGTGCCAGCCAGTAGTAGGTGGCTTAGGCATGGAGAAATCTTATCACACACACTGCACCTCAGATACACTTCTGTTTACTAGTGTCACTGAGCAGATCATAGTGTGAGAATATTCATCAGACATTGAACTCAACAAAGTACTAGCTTTTTATTATGCTTGAATGGTTTATGATCTGAGCAGTACTAGACATTTTGTTTCATTGGTGGGGAAGAAACAGTGTTCCCTGTTTATTCTATTACAGGTGAATAGCATGGATAATTGGTGTCTTAGTAAAGGTTTCTTTTCTTTTTTTGTTTTTCGAGACAGGGTTTCTCTGTGTAGCTTTAGGCCTATCCTGGCACTTGCTCTGGAGACCAGGCTGGCCTCGAACTCACAGAGATCCGCCTGCCTCTGTCTCCCGAGTGCTGGGATTAAAGGTACGCGCCACCAACGCCCGGCTTTAGTAAAGGTTTCTATTGCTGTGAAGAGACACCGTGACCACGGCAACTCTTATAAAGGAAAACATGTAATTGAGATGGCTTACATTTTCAGAGGTTCAGTTCATTATGACCAGGAGCATGGCAGCCTGCAGGCAGACGTGGTGTTGGCTACATCTTGATATGCAGGCAATAAGAAGTAAACTTAGACACTGGGCCTTATCTTGAGCATATATGAAATCTCAAAGACCACCTCCACAGTGACACACTTCCTCCAACAAGGCCAGGCCTCCTAATAGTGCCACTCCCTTTGAGAGCCATTTTCTTTCAAACCACCTCAATTTTATTTTAAACTCAGTGTATTATTTGTGGTAATTATAGGTTCTCATGCAATTGTGAAGATGGAATTTTCTGTTCCACCTGGTCCCACAGCCATTTAGTCCCAAATAAACACACAGAGGTTATACTAATTATAAACTGTTTGGCCAATGTCTCAGGTTTCTTATTTGTTAGCTCTCTTCTTGGAACCCAGCCCCCATGAGGTCTCTAAGAGTTGTTTTCCAGCATAACCACAGGCACCCCTTTTCCAGTGCTTTTACAATCCAACTCTCTTAGGAGTTGAGGCACCCCCTCCAGTAACTTTCCAATCCAACTCTCTCAGGAGTTGAGGCACCCCTTTTCCAGTGCTTTTACAATCCAACTCTCTCAGGAGTTGAGACACCCCCTTTTCCAGTGCCTTTGCAGTCCAACTCTCTTAGGAGTTGAGGCACCCCTTCCAGTAACTTTCCAACTGTGGTTATGCTGGAAAACAACTCTTAGAGACCTCATGGGGGCTGGGTTCCAACACTCTCTCTGAATTATTAACCCATTTCTATTAATCTATGTATCTCCACACGGTCTTGGCTTACCAGAGAATACCCTGGCATCCTATCTTCCCAGTAGCTACATGGTATCTCCTTCATGACTCACTCTCCGAGTTCCTCTTCCCCAAATCCTCCTATTCTGATAGCCCCACCTATACTTCCTGCCTGGCTATATCCTGCCTGTCCGTTGGCCAAAACAGCTTTATTTTTCAACCAATAAGAGAAACATATTCACAGCACACAGAATGACATTCCCTATTACAGTTGTAAGAAATAATAGAAGTCCTATGTGTCCTAGTTAGCTTTCCATTGCTGTGATAAACACCACTACCAAAAAAGCAACTTAGAAGAAAGGATTTATTTCATCTTACATCTTATAGTCCAAAATGAAGAATGGGAACTGAAATAGAGGTCTTGGAGGAGTGCTGTTTACCTGCTTGTTCAGTTTGATTTCTTGTAAATCACACAGTCATCTGCCCAGGGGGTGGTACCACTCACAGTGGCCTTGGCCCTTCCACATCATCAATCAAGAAAATACCCCACACTCTGTCATATGGAGGAATTTTCTCAAATGAAATTCCCTCTCCCTAGATGACTCTCACTGGTGTCAATTTGACCAAAAACTAAGACAATGGCCTTTTGTCAGTTTGACACAAACACAGCACTATTAAGCCATAAGCTTCCCTTTCTTATTTGTTCCCAAGATGCATGTTACTATTTTTTTAGATGTATTTATTTATTATGTATACAATGTTTTGTCTGCATGTTTACCTGCATACCAGGAGAGGGCATCAGATCTCATTGTAGGTGATTGTAAGCCACCCTATAGTTGCTGGGAATTCAACTCAGGACCTCTGGAAGAGCAGCCAGTGTTGTTAACCTCTGAGCTATCTCTCCAGCCCACTATGTTATTATTAATATCAAAATATAAAGCATGAATAACTTTTATGTATGGGGGTGTTTTGCCTGAATGTATGTTTATGTATCTTGTGTGTGTATGGTGCCCATAGAGGTCAGAAGAGGGTATTGGGTCTCTTGGAACTGGAGATTCAAGAGCTTGTAAGCTGCCACGTTAGTTCTAGGAGTGAAACCAGTGCTCTTAAAGGCAGAGCATCTCTCCAGTCACATAAGTATAACTTTAAAAGTCCATGGTCAGTAGATATGAGATGGTGTCAGCTGCAGCAGCGTGGCATCCTGGTATCTATCTCTGCTGCTGGGCCAGACCTGCCAAGGGGTGGAATAGCTCATGTCAAGCGGAACCCCTGGCAAAGAGAGCTCAGATCAAATGTGGAAGGCCTACTTCATAGCACTGCCCAGGATGGGAGTAAGGATGCTCAATGTTTCCTGAAGTTGCAACATGAAGAGCACTAGAGACCCAAGTTGGTTGCTTACCCCACCTCTGGATCAAGACCAAGCCCTTTCCCTGGGGCAGTGGTAGCCATACCCACTTCCATAACCCTTACGTTAATCCATTTCTGATTGGCTCTGAAGATGAGTAAAAAGAATCTGGACTCACACGTAGGCAATAAGGGGCCATGGCACTGGTTTGAACCATTACTCTGCATGAGGACCACAAAAGTGTATGGGACACTAAGCTCATCTTTCCTTCTACCAAATGGTAACTGTTGCGCCAACCTTCCATTCTTCCTTGTGAGAGGCGATGGCTTAAATACATAATCTTAGAAAAGAGTCCTATAGTCTTTAAAATTTTCAAATGTTAGAAGTCCCAATTTTGGGTCAAGGTTTTCTCAGGGAGACCCAGCCTTCTTTCATTCAGGGAGTTCTGGATCTCTATACTGGATAGAACCTGGAAATTAGTTGGTGCTCAGATTCCATAATGCTATGCTACAATGTAGCCTTCCTTTCTTTTGTTCTCAAGATTTTCTGCTTATGTAGATCAAACAAAAATTTAGGATTCTTGCCAGTACCAAAAGTTCACACAGGTCAGGCCATTGTAAAGATGCTTTGCCTCTGCCTACATTATAGTAACTATACTCATTTGCCTCTGGTGATTTAAAGCTGCACCCTGACCCCTGATAATCCAGGACTCAAACCTATCACATTTATTTCAATGTTGTCTGGCACAAGAAGAGCAAGCAACAACAAAGCTCTTCAATGTGTTGGTGCCACTCCCATCGTCTTGAGGTTTTTAGGATTATTGAAGGGCATGTCTTCTGGACCCTCCTATTGTGAAGAATTAGGTTTTACATGTACCCACTCAGGCATTCTAATTTCCCTGAGCCTTAAAATCCCTTCAACACTAAGCCAAAGATGTCAGATGCCACCAGCTCCTTTTCTGTAGGCCATCTTGTGACAAGCTCTCTAGCCAACCAATCAAACTTAAGACATTTTTTAAAGCTGTGTGAGCTTCTATATTAAACCTAGAGTCCCCACTCGGTGGCTCCATATCTATAAACTCAGCCTGATCCAGTTTTATGTTCCTTCCACCATTATCCCATATTTTAAAAATTCATTCCCATATAATTTACCCGAATTTTTGCTTGAATGAATTGGCAAACTTATTAAGCTCTTTAGTGGTTGGTATAGCACACTTCCTCAAGGACTACACTTCTTTCTCACCTCTAGTAGCCTGCTTAGCATTGAGTCTGGTTACAGGTACAGAGACAACTGTTGGTGGGCACTGAGGGACATCAGAGTTGTCTTGCTTGGCATCTCCTTTAGAATACATCACTGCCAGTTCAGACAATGAAGGCTTGATTTTCTCGGGCGTGGGTAGGGAGGGCAGTACTGCAGGGGTTTAGGGTAGGAATGAATCCTCAGCTAAGGGTAGAGAAACTACTTCCTCAAATGAGATAAACCCTTCAGAGTCTGAG